TAGATACCAAATGTAAATACAAAAAGTTATAATTTAAATTTTTATTTTTTAGTTTTAAGTAATTGATTGACATATTTTAAATAGTTTACTGAACAATTAAGAGATAGATCAAAAGTACAATAGAGCTTTGCATGCAGTTTATTATACGAAGAGCAATCATTTGTGTTCACTCATGATTGATCAAATCTGCAAATAATTGTTTCTGCATCCAATTCATCTTACAATTTCTTTTCAATGGATAACAACATGTATGATTCCAAATTCTCCTCAGGTAATGACTTTCTTAAACTCGTCTTTATGATTTTTAGCTTTGGAAATGTCCTTACACATTGGACTTGAGTAACTGATAATGTTCAGATGACCATATAAAGTTTTTATTCCTTTCTATTACTAAAACAGTTGTCTGTGTTTGTTTCTTTATTGCATTTTTATTTGATATAGAGGGCTCACTCTATTAGGGGCCTAATTACCATTGGGCAAGGTGATACTCTGGCCAATATGCTATTGGTCACCATGCAGTGTTGATTCTGATGTCCTTTATCTATGTTGATTTCCCATTGTGTGGGGAATGACTGTAAAATTTTTCTCCCTCCCCTCTTATAGTTGGAAGTACATGAAATGCATGCTGGGATATTTTTTTTAGCCAATAAAATGGGATGGCTTGATTTTTGACATGACTCAGTCCAGATCTGCCTTAACGACTGAGATCTACTGTGTTCGCTTGTTTGACCTTGCTTTTGTGTACAAACACCAACTCTGAGTTTGTGATTTCTTTTGCCTTCTTACTTGTTTGATTTGCTTTAACTATATTGCTTGCTTGTATGATTGTTGCTGTTTCATCCTTTTTGCCCTTCTTTCTTTTCAATGCAAACTTAATACTGTTTGTGTTATTTATCTTGCATTTTGACAATGGCCTCTAACTCATTTATCTCTCTCTCTCTCTCTCTATATATATATATATATATATATATATATATATATATAATTATATTAAGAACATCTCCTTAGAAACAAAGAAAAGAGTGCTGAACTATTATGTAATATAAATTCTTCTATATAGCAGTGAATGCTGGACAGTTTTCAGATACATAGAAGACTTGAGGCAATAGTGATGTAGTTCTACAGAAGGACACTGAGAATATACATATATATATATATATATATATATAACCTATTTTAAAAATGTGTTTTAATGATTTCAGAATTTGGTGTTGATTTTGTTTGATTATAGGGATATTTTTTTCTAATTGTTTTCTATAAAGACTGCTTCAGAATCTGAGCTTACTGAACAATAATATCTCCTGTCTTCACCAGTATTGATTAAAATGAAAAGCTTTTACTAAAATGCTCAACCACAATGTAGCATTAATAAAGATGAACTGTGCCACATTTTGGTGACTTGATTTCCTTAAGACAATCAATTTACTTTCCCCCTTTGCCTCCATCTCTTCTGCCTTATTATTTGGACTTGTCAATAGCAGATGACAGCAGTGGGTTCCTTAGGGAAGCTGGTAGAATCCCTTGTTTCTAGACTTGGCTCTGGTTTCTATGATTCTAAATTAGATAAGATGTCAGTGTTGCCTTGCTTTTATCTTCTTTTGCTCATTAAGCATGTTTTAATAGTTTGATTTGAATTGCAAAACATTTTCTTTTGCTGTACCCTCATCTCTTGTTATTCACCAGGGATACATTCCAAAGTTACTTGTGAATAGCAAATTTCTATTTGTTGCCCAATAAGACTTCATCTTCCAAATGATTTATCTTTAAGAGATAAACTTTGAAATGTTAAATACATGAAAACCAACATTACCCATTTACACACAAACCACAAAATAGACCCTCATTTTAAACTTTCTTTTCCCATGCAAAGTAGTGTCATGTTTTCTATTTTTGTTTTTATGGATCCTTTCCTTAAAAAAATGCAAAAATAAAAGAAAAAACAGGTTCTGTAGTTTCCTGATAATAGTGGTGTTGAAAACCTCTGCAGCGAAGCTTAATGGTTTTCATCTTTGCCATTTTGTTCTGGACTTTCATGAAAAGAAAATCATTGATGATTGACTCACCAAAGCTGCTATGTGTTGCTAATAATATAACAATTATAACAACATCTCCTTAGAAACAAAGAAAAGAGTGCTGGATTACTATGTAATATAAATTCTTCTGGACAGTTTTCAGATACAGAGAAGACTTGAGGCAATAGTGATGTGGTTCTACAGGAGGATACTGAGAATGTCATGAATGGTGCATGTAAGCAGCAACGAAGATTTAAAGAAAACGAAAAAATAACACTTCTCCTTAGAATCAGAAAGAGACAGTTGAAATTTCTAGAATACATAATGTGTAAAGAAGGCTTGGAAAATTGAACACTCACAAGACATTAAAGGCAACAAGGGCAAAGGGAAATGCCAAGTAACCTATCTAATGAGCTTGTGTAAATGGATGACAAAATGAATGGGAGTTGGGGGATAATAAAAAGACACCTTGTTAAGAGCTACAAGGGATAGGAAGTTGTAGAGAGCCATGATCGCCCACATCTCGAAGAGACATGGCACATAGAAGAAAAGGTTTATTATCCCAAATCATTTAGTTCTTAGTTTCTGTGAAGAAAACAATCATCTTTCATGAATCATCTTTTATGAATCATCTAGATTTTCTCAAAGATCAGTATATTCTTTCTTCTACTTGCATAGGGCTGCAACTGTAGTTTCAATATCAAGTAGGTTTTATAGACTAGAGTTGATCATTACTTAAACTGGTTGCTTGAGATCTCAGTCTACCAAGTTATAAGTGTTGGTTTGGAAGAGGGGGAAGATGGATTCATGCCTTTCTCAGGGACATTAGTAAATGCAACTGACTTGCCTAGAATTTGAACTCAGCTTGTTGAATTCATCTTCCATGCCAGTAACCATTATATTACCTACATGTACATGATGTATTTTGACCCTATCAGCCTGTAAAGAAAATTCAGTTGTTAAATCCTTTGAGTTCCGACTGAATTGATGAAAAATCTGAATATGTGATGTTAATGTAATGAAATTGATATATCTTAAAAACTGTTGAAAATCAAATATTACAAGTTCATTTTATATGAAAGTAAATTGATTTCTCTCTCAAATTTAACTGCCTTCGTATTACTGGTTATGAAATAGAGTTTTGGAAAATCTACAATTTTTACAAAGTTGTAGAATTCCAGTGCCTCTAGTTGATTATGTGAAGTGCATTAATATAGGCATATTAAAATACAGTGCTACCCAATTGTGGGTGCATTTAGGTGTTCATGGATTGTATGCATTTGAAATTTGTGGGTGTATTTGTGTACTTCCAGACTTAAAGAGTTAATACTAAATATAATATATTCATAGCTGTTGTGTTTAAAGAAACAATAAGAAATGCTGTGTTTATTGATAAAATAAATGGACTTGATATTTGTGAAAAGAAAGTTAAAGCAAAACAATACATATCATCTGTTATGATTTATTATTAGTTTTACTTCATCTTATGGTTGTTGCTTTTTATCACAACAAATCTGCATTAATACTCTTATTTTATTAATAAGTTACTTTTAATCTCCATTCTTGCATGAATACACATATATGAGTCTCACCCTAGATCATGTCAGAATAGACTTTGCACTCAGTATGATGTTAGAGAAGCCAAGTACAGGGTTGACCTAAGGTGACCTCTCACCTGCATCTGGGTTGCAAGTGTGGGAAAGGATCATATTACAAGATTATATATATATATATATATATATATATATATATATATCCACTCCAGAGAGGAGCTGAGCAGTCTCTCAAATATTGCAGATGACAATGTAAGGGCTTGACACCATGCACTCACACACTGGCTGAGAGTAATTGACAAAGTCAGGAATTGAATAAAATATAATGTAAAATATGAGTAATTAAGTCTGATGTTATCATTTGGTCTTCACCTTTCTACACATTTAAATACATGTGTATTATTACACACATTTAGAAAAAATAGATATCTTTTTTGAAGGAAACATTTTACTATTTCACTGAATGCATTGCTATGAATTTATAATCTTGATTCGGGATGGGCAAACACTTTTCAGAGGTCCACATGTAGTGTTTGGTGGGTTCATAGTGAGCTACAGATACAAAAAATACTTGAATAATGATCCACAAGAAACTCTTTAATATTGACAATAACCAATGCATTGGAAGCGATGAAAACCACTACTCTCATGTGTCCTGTAGTAAACTGAATACACAGTCTCAATTTGTGTCGGTTAGTACAAAATGACCTAGTAACCTAGTTGTCTTTTAGAAATTAAGTAATGTTTCATGAAGATTCAATGAAATGAATAAATTATCATAGATTTGTCATTTATTTTCACTGAACATTAACTAAAATGGAAAAAAGGGAAAACTGATCAGACAAAAGCAAATCATGCACAAAAATGTTTTTTTGTAATGGTTTCACAGACAACAGGCAACAATTTGACCACTACTGACTTTGGTGGGCACAAATTGGTGGTTTTATTTTTAACTTATCTCCACTTTAGGAGAAGACAGGCTAAAAAAATACATGCATTTAGAGAGTACTCCTCCATTCCACTTTGAATGGTCAAGTCAGAAGTATATACTCTGATGTTTGATAGTGGCTGATGGAAATGGTTGTTTTTACTTGACCTTTACATTTTGCCATTGTGGAATGGCAAGTAAATTCTGATACTTATGTCTAATAACTTTGTAAATATTAGTGTTTTAGTAATAAACCAAAAATCCATTCGAAGTCTATAAAAGATCATGTTTTCTTTCACAAGATTCTGATACTTCATTCTTTCATGAGGTAGTGAACTGTGAATATGTCCTAAAAAAACAAACTGGCTTTTGAATTTTTCTCTTTATGTAAGTATCAGCAAGGGAAGCAGGATAATTGACATTTCGGAAAAGGCATTTTGCAATTTTGACACCTGTTAATTACAAGTACTGGTACAATTACTCACTTGTGCGTTTATTTATTTTCAGGTGTCTTATGCAGCTCGAGATGTTTTGGTGGGTGTGCTAATATTTTTGCAACTGACTATGACCAAAATTAAAGTACAGAATAATCGACTTTTGCTCAGTTTCTCTGTTCAGAATACCACCACTAGTGACCAATATTCTGAAGAAATTCTTCAACAAACGGCTATTGCCATATCTCAGGGAATTGTTAATTGTAATTACAATGACATTCAAGGTTGGCGGGAAAAAAGTCCTGGTAAAAAGGTAATTTATTTTTTAACTTATATATTGATACAACATTGACAATGCTTTGGAATAAATATACATATTGAGATATGATCAAATAATTTTGACAGGAGTCATACTAGGTCAACCCCCCCACCCCCGAAAATTGACAAATTGGGAAATTACTATTATATTAGTCCCATCATACATGAATAGAAATCCTTTTGACATTGTTGGTATATATAATAATGAACTCTTCCGTCGGTTTTGACGTATAAGGATCTGACAACTTAACCAATAGGTTCAGTTATGAATTTTGTGCGATAATCTTAAGTGGCACTTTTGACCCACTAGTCATTTGCAAAGGAGGCCACATATGGAGAAAGAGTGAGGATTGTGGAATGAGGTCACTGTTAGATTGGCTGACCTTTTAGATCTTGCTCTTGCTTCTTGAAGACTATTCAAACTAGCAGATTGAAAACTGCTGACTCCACTAAAACATGTTGATCTACACTCTACCCGCTTCAAGGCTAAGCACTCATGGGTGTTATGAGGTATATTGACAGCTGACAAATTGCTCTTCAGCTTGTCTTTGTATCTAAGCCATGGGCTTCCTACATTTCTATAGTATGGTATATATATATATATATATATATATATATATATATATATATATATATATATATATATATATATGTATGAATGACTCTCTCATCTCATTAACTCAGTTCTTAGAATTTAAAGTGAGACTACTCATACATACCATTTTATTATAGTGTTGAAGGCTTGTGCAGAACCCGCCACACTTTTCTAAAGAACCATGCACATAGTGTGCCACAAAATTTCTGAAAAGGAGGCTTCTTTAGAAATTAGACCTGACCTAGCAATGGATTCAATAGTCTTTCCACTTCATTCCAGCCAAGAATGTTGCCATTATTTTCTGAACTATCTGAAGATCACTCATTGTGTGAAATTTATACTCACAACAGAGTAGTAGTGACTTTGGAGATATATATATATATATATATATGCACACACACAGTGTGCGATGGATAAATTGTCATCTAAATTATGCAAAAATAAAAGTGACACTGTCATTTTATTTTAACAGATATATTTGCCAAAATTACACACAAATATCTTTAAATACTAAAAAATAAATTTATTCAATAAAATCACCATTGGCTACAACCATGGCCTCCAGACAACTTTAGAATCTTCTGCAACTCTTCTAGGTGGTCTCCTTGTTTAAGTTGGTGAATGCTGCCATAATCCTTGCCTTCAGTTCATCCTTGGTGTTACAAGGAGTTGGTCTCTTGCTCACTTGCACCCCACACATGATTACCTTGTGACCTAGGGCAGCAGCACTACCTCCTCAAGAGATTGAGTTTGAGGCCTTTACCAACAAATTTAAGAGTTTTTTCCTTAAAAGAATGATCAGTGAATTTTTCAAGCTGCTAATCACATTAGACTCATCTGACTCCTTCCAAATCCTCTGTGCTATCCTCAGATTGACACTCAAATACTCTGAAATATTTGAATTGGAGCTTCCGGTATGAATACCAAGCTGTACAGAATGCTGTTTCCAAATATCTGGTAGAGTGAATTGTGTTACGGTGTTCTTTTTCTCACAGATGGTGCCCAACTGACCCTACTATACTGTGCTGTCAACAAAATCAAAAATAAGCAATATATATATATATATATATATATGAAATGGTTAATTTGAATTAAAAACCTATGTATCTTAATGGACTTTGTCTTTATATTCAAATAGAATATACATGCATACATATATATATACTGAGTGAAGAATAGTCCTGAAAGAGAACTAATTTCCTTTAAGATTATAGTAGTACATTTATTAAGCAATCCAACAGAAGGAAATTTCGTCTTATAATTACAAAATATTTTATCTATGAGGGATGCTCCAAAAATAATACCTTGTATTTATTTCCACAGAAGCTATAAGAGAGCACAAAAACACTCTTGGGTTGAGAAAGTTTTCTGTAACAAAATATAATTTTTATTTTCTACATTACCACCTTTGTTTGCTATGCATTTTTGTTAGCAGTTAATAATAGTCTGTGTACTGAGTTTGTAGACTTTGTTTGCTGCACACATTGTTGCGTTGTCACAGCTGAAACCCATTATCCACCACCCCTGTTCACACATATATTTGGCAATTTTTAATGTAGGTGCAATTTGTTTTGTGTGCAGGGTTTCAATGAAACAGCTCAGCTTTGTATGCACTTTCATATCAAATGGCATTTTGACAGAAAACAAACCAAAAAATTATGGTTTATTGGCATTAAGTTTTAAACTCTACTCCCTTCCTACCAAAGTTCGTCACAGACATCTTAAAAGGCATTACTTTTGGAGCAATCCAACTAGTTAATTTTTATATTTCTAAGTTGACTTTATCTTTTTTTTTGCGTTGTATTTTAAATTTGTATTTTATTCCACCTGACAGGTTTCTTCTACAAGTGGGAAACCGCCAAAGAAAGACATTTTTCGTGCTTATTCTCTGCGTAGAAGTCCTCTCTATGACAACTGCCAGCTTCTTGCACCTGATTATCAAATGCTTTGCACTTGTGATACTCGCAAAGCACAATGGTACCTGGACAAGCAACTTGCAGGTTTGACTTAAAGATTCTATTGTTTAACATAATTTTCATGCTTAAATAATAAAACATTCATATTACAGAGCTTTTTATGTTTCTGTCTAAATTTCTGAGATGATTTCTATTATTCAGTATTAATTTATTTTGAAGAAGAAACTTGAAGCAACAGAAATGGGATTCTACAGAAGGATGATGAGAATATCATAAACTGAACATGGAAAAATGGAAACAAAAAGGACACTTATACTTAATATCAGGAAGAGACAGTTGAAATTTTGAGGGTACATAATGAGGAAAGAGGGCTTGAAAATTTTGATACTCACAAGACAGATTGAAGGCAAGTTGTACAGAGGAAAACAATGCATAACATACTTAGTAAGCTTGAGTAAATGGATGGCTAAACAAGGTTTAGGAAAGATAACATAAAAACTAAATTTCTTAAGAGCTACAAAGGATAGGAAATTGTGGAGAGCTATGATTGCCAATGTCCTGAAGGGACATGGCACATAGAAGTAGTTTCTTTATTTGTCACTGAGGTCAAGCATAGGAATGAAGTGGGAAGTTTTGATTAGAAAAGTATATGTATCAAGTTTAAATCTTCAAGATTCCACAGTCTGATTGTTCAGCAATATTTGATCTTCATGCATACAAAAAATGATGTGTCAAAACAGCACTATTACTGTATACACTTGGTTTCCTTGGCAATATTTATTTACAATATGATAAAAATGTGTGAATGAAGTACAATGTGATATTATTTACCATTTTATAAAGAAATAAATTTGAAAAGAAATCTTTTTATTAACAAATATTTAAAAAACTACAAAATTATCAAAATATGGAAGAGATGTTCTCGACCTGCTTTAGGGAATTTATCTGGCGAGAGCAGATGAAAGAAATGCTTGAAAAATGCACTTTTTCCAAATTTATAATTACAGTTACTTGTCATTATGTGTTTATTTAAATTTTCTTCTTCACAGACATTTTTATAGATATATGAATAAAAAATTTTTTCATATTTATTTCTTTATAAAAAGGTAAATAATAAATATTTCATTATAGTTGGTTCACATATTTTTATAATCTTGTAAATATAAAATTATTCTTGTAAATAAGCATTCTAATAAAAAAAAAATAGATTTAATATCTTTGTTGTCAATTCTCAAGAATAAAGAAAATGTATAAATCTGCTTTCATATGTTTTGGTTTTATTAAAATTCTAATCATTACTTTTTAAAACAACAAACATAGCCAAGGGAGTCAAATGTGATAGTGACATTAAGGAAATAACTGTCCATTTGACACACTGTGTTTTTTTGCAGGTGCAAAAGGTTAAGTTGATTGTTCTTTGGAACAAGAGTGTTGGTGAAGTGCATCTTATGACTTGTTGGTGTCTGTGAATTCAATCCTCAAATTAAACAGAGAAAAATCATATGCTGTGGCAAAAGCTACATCACGAAAGCAAATTAACTGATATGTTTTCACTCCTCATGTAGACAATGAAAGAAGAAGAATACTTATAAGAGGACTGAATGAAAGACTTTGTTTGAAATTTTCAGAAAGTTACCAAATATCACAGGCCATTCACACTCATCTCCAAATGGCCTTTGTGATCCCCATCTTTTCCAAATGGGTGCTTTAGTCCCTCCTGGACAAGTGAGTTTGTAAAGTTTCAATGTCTGGGCCCCCTGCTCAGCCAAGATGTTTCTGATTCAAGGAGTTCTGCTACTTTGATTCCTAGATGACAACCTCATTTAGTAGCTCTCTTTTTTGAGTGGCTCTTGGGCCTTGTATCATGTAAAGAAAACAGTAAGAAAACAAATATCTGAAGAAGACAGGAGAGTACAATGGTTGAAATATTGTTACTATCATACCCAAGATGAGGATACTAGTCTGAATAGATTATTGTAAAATTATATTGTTTTGATAATCAACTGTTTTCAACTCTTGAATGCAAAGAAACAGTTGACTATAAAATGATGTACAGTTTTTCTTTCCCCACTCCATCTCAAAGGCTGAAAACATCAATTGTTGGCACAACAAATGAGGTTAGAAGAAACAATTAATTAGTTAATTGACTGCAATCTATTCGTTTTATTATTGCATTTATTCATACCAATGTGTACACACACACACACACACACACACACACACATATATATATATATATATATATATATATATATATATATATATATATATCCCAGCTTGTAGTGTCTTTGGAAAAATGCCTGAAAAGCCAATGGTATATAGACCTAAGCCTTTTGAGTGAAATTGGGTTAATAGAACTGTTTGGAATCTGCCAGTGGTTGTGCTAGCATAAAATCACAAGCCATCATGATCGAGGATTTGATCGTACTGGCATTGTTCAAGCTGCTGACCATGACAGGTTATGTACTCTCTCCCCAGAAACTTTAACTAAGCTCCAATCAGCATAGTTGTAGCATAAACCAGAGGTGTGTTCTGTTAGTGTTGGACAAACAAAAATGTGATTGAGCAAGTGTCTGCAGCAGTGTTTGGCTAACTGCTCTAGCAGATGAGTGTACTCGGAAAACAAGAGTAGCCACCTATTTTTATATATATATATATATATATATATATATATATATATATACACACACACACACACACACACACACAAGTAAAAGGTTTGTCACTTAGCTGATTGATGTTATCTTCAGTATTCTAACTCCAGAGTTTTGTAGACATTCACTTAAGGGGTATCAGCAATTGACTGTTTATACTTCTTGATTTTTCTTATTTATATCCAATTTTTCATTGGTACAAGTTTTTTTTCATAGTGTATGCACCCATGTATGTACATGTAGAATGACATGGTTATTTGTCATTTTCATTATTTTTTTTTTTACTTAAACTATCTCCTTAACTGTTTCTCTCTTTTCTTTCAATTGTAGCCATTTTGGCTTCCAGTTTTCTAGACATATACTGTTGTTGATAATTCTTGACTGAATGTGTGTGTCTGTGTTCACATTTTGAAGAAAGTTTATCTGTCTAGTATACTTTTATGATGATGTAGAAAATACTGATTATAAATATTGTATTAAAGGAATTCTTAAATTGTAAATGGTTCTGTAGATAAATAAACATTTAATCCAAGATATATTTAAATATATGTCTCTATTAAAATTTATTATTTCATTTATTATAATTGTTTTCATTATAACAGTGGCACAAAGCAGAAAATTAACTCTTTTTCAAAACCTTCTCTTTCCAGGATGTAGGTTATCATGTCTCTTCATAACATCTTAATTTTTTTTTTAATAATTTTGAATTTTGAATTTTAAATTTTAAATTTTGAAGCCTGTTTTGGGGAAAAGTAATAAAGTGGTTTCATCCTTCAGTTTTGATTTCAGAGTTGTTATTCACCTTGACTAGTTGACCAACAAAAGCTAGTGAGCAGCCAATCTATTCTACTATTTTACTCAAGGAAGATTAGATATAGACTCCTGCCCTTTCCAAAGGGCATAATGTGAAGTGAATGTCACTGCCTTGACTGAAATTTGAACTTGGTTTGCTGATTCAATTTTCCATGCCATAACTATTACACTATTTGTGCATTCAATCAGTTGTTATATTCACTGAATTGTAAAATGTCTGAAATGGTGACACTCTTAAAACCAAGATGAGGATACTAGTCTGAATAAATCAATGTATTATAGTAAGTCTTTTAATTTTGCCATGAACTGGATGAGACATTTGATAGGAGACAAAATCAATGAAAGCAAATAATTGCCCTCAAGATGCTGCTGAAATATGATCTCTTACAGAAACATTCTCAGCTCAAGTGTTCCTATTAGCTTCATAATAATACTCATTTAATAAAACTTTGGTTTCTCTCTGTGAAAAAAAAAAACAAAACAAAAACGAAAATTGATTTGTTCAATTTATATGGGAACCCAAACATAACACCAAAAGTGAATAAATCAAAAATAAACTATAGATATCACAGGCACCAGTCACATTTGATATTTGTCTTTTTAACATATCTGCCAGAATTCTTTAGACTATTCTTTACTTTAAATTGTATATATACATGTGTGTGTGTGTGTGTATGGGTGCATGGGCGAGTGGTTAGAATGTTCGCTTTCTGGCCATGAGACCCGGCTCGATCTCAGCATGTGGCACCTTTGGAAAATGCCTGAAAACCATAACACAGATTGACCCAAGCCTTGTGAGTGAAATTGAGTAGACAGAACTCTTGGGGGTCGTTGATAGCTGTGCTAGAATGAAGACACAAGTCATCATGGCCGAGGTCTTGAGCATTCTTGCCTTGTTCAAATTGTTGATCATGCTAGATAACATGCTCTCTCTCAGAAACTGTAACTAAGGTCTGCTCAGTATAGTTACAGTATAAACTGTTGAGCAAACACAAATGTGCTTGGATGTGTGTCTGGAATAGGGATTGGCTAGCCGCCCTAGTAGACAGGTATTCTTGAATACGAGTGGCCAGCTATTATATATATATATATATATATATGTGTGCATGTGTCCAAGTTTGATAAAAAGAACTAACAGGGTCTATTGGCATTAAATTATCCATAAGTAGTTGATATGCTATTAAACAATAAAAACAAAATCTGTTTAATGTTTTAATTGTATTTTTCCCATTTTCAAATAAGATGTGAATTGAGATCAATATTGTGTATAAACTGTTCAAAGTTCATGTTTGAGTTATTGTTTGTTAAAGTACATTTGACTGCTTCCATCATTTTCAAGGAAAAATGTGTAGTTTTTGAAAATAACTGATATGGTCAGTGTGTGTAAATGTATGTATGTATGTATGAATACACACACACACACACACACAAATTCTGTGATCAATTATTCTGGTTGAAAGTCCTTATGAGTGACTGAAAAATGATGAAACTCTGAGCTGGTCTTTGATATACATTGAATATTATTTTCTCTAATTCAAGAATTTATATATATATATATATATAAGTACACACACACACGCTTACACAAGGAGGTTACTGAAGCTTTTAGCCCAACCCACATGTTGAAATCTGACTAAATAACCAAATAATATTTTTTTAAATCTCCTCTTAAACTTTTCAGCACCCATTCATATCTCTCTCTCACTCTCTCACACACACACTTTATAATACTCTATTTTTTGCTGTGATGTGAAAATGTTGACAAGTAAGCAAATACAATAATATCTTTAAGAAGATCTATTATTTCTTCAACATTGGAGAACACTGACCCATATGGTAATAATAACAGTAAAAGTACCAGTACTTAAAAAGATTCTTTGATTAGTTCTTAATATTCTTTACACTATACTCATAACATAAATCCGATAAGGCTAGAATGTTAGCAGTAGTAGTTATAATGGTGGGAAATCTGAGGTTGTTCAGTCACCAGATACTTGTCATTCTATTATAACCTTGGGACCTTATTGATAACATCCTACCAACCAGGCAATGCTATGTAAACCCTTAGTCTGAAGGGTTGAAACAACTGATGTACATAACATTTTCCAAATTAAAATGTTTCTAGTGTTGGCTTGTAGTCTTTTCTGTTTATTATCCTGAAGTGGGAGAGCCTTTAACAATTGTGAAGAACCCTCTTAAATCTTAATTTGTAAAGTCAATTTGATATTACTTAAATTATGAAGGAATTTATGAAGGAATTGTTTATGAAGTCAAATATAGATAGAGCTGAATAAAAAATTTGTTGTACAAATTTGAACTGTTCTATTTCTCAGTTATCAGATGTTATGTTAATCATAGCCATCTTGACAAACTAATTTGGACTTGACTAGTATTTACCTGTCTCATGGGAACACAATGATTTAAAGCAATTGACTAAATGATAATTAAAGTGTCAAAGAATGAAAATGTAACAATAACAACTAATAATTTAAAAAGATAACCTCACCTATTATTGTGCTAGATCTACCTTCAATATACATTCAATCAAGCTACAATTAATGGTAGATAAAGTAGTAACACTAGTTTAATTATGTTGATCTGATTGTTCAATGAGGCTGAGGTGTACTTCTCAAGATATTGTGATGAGATTGCATCACCATTTTAGTTAATTAGGCTTATTCCATTTAGTCAAATGTTAAAGTTGTTATCTACCTCGAAGACCCTGTGTCCAGTATGCAGTAGTCAAGCCTTAATTTAAACAATTTTTTTTCTATTGTTTTGCCAGCAAAATATTTTAAATTAATCCAGATGTGTACAATTGTTATAAAGTCAAAAGATGAGTATTGGTGATAATTTGTTTTTTTTTTTTTTTTGCTTTTCAGAAATGGTCAGTGAAAATCCACTTATAATACGGTTGAAATTTGAACCCTCAGGAAGACCAGAAAGTCCAGAGAATTATTACCTTCAAGAAAAGGACAATATTTGTGTTGTATGTGGGAAACCTGAAGATTATTTACGAAAAAATGTCATTCCTCATGAATACCGAAAGTAGGCAAAATTCTTTCGCTTCCATTTTTATCCCTTTGTCACTAAATTCACTTCTCCTGATTTATCTGCATCAATTCTTTTGAATATTAATTTAATTCTGAGAAAGATGCTTTCATCTTTAACCCTTTGCGCTTAAGAACATATGATTAATTCTAAGAAAGGTAAAACTAATGAATTCAGTTGATCATATCCAAATGAACAGTGTAATGCTACGATGGCCTAATTACCGAAAGGGGAGAAATCAGAAGGAAAGAAAAAAACCAAGGTATGCCATGTTGGGCTGTCGTAAGGAGGGATCATGAAAATTGTCACTTTTAAAAGTTGGAAGCTACTGATAAAACTATTAGAAATTTTCTGGTGATTTCAGAGAAATAGCTATAACATTTTTTTCTTTGCTGAGAAACCTAGGTACCATGATAAAAATTTCTACCCACAGGCTAAACTTTTGGTTAAGAGTTGTAATAAATAAATAAGATTGATTCCATACTAATTTTAGAATTGGTCTTCATTGGTTGACTCTGCTGAATGAGATATCAAAGAAGTATTTCCAAATTTCTATGATTATTATACATCTGGGGTGGAGTTTACTTGAACCAATTTCCAATATTAAAACAATGCCAACAGGTGACAATGAGACTCCTGATGTGAGTTGCTTGCAATAATAATTTTGAACACTAGCTTGGTTGTCACCATGTTCCAAATATAAAAGCTTTGTCTGGTTTTTGATGGCCCTGTTCCCCCCCTCCAAAAAAAAGGCTCTAATGACAGCATTTGCAGGAGACGTAACAAAATCTTCATTAATGGTCAACCATTATTCTTTCATCTTTCATTTTCTTGTGTCCAAAATCTAGATGATTGTGTTTGATATGGTTACTCCAAAATTATCTACTATCAAGCACTTTATACTAGGGTGTGTGACATATACATATATATATTTACACTATTTACATTTTTTGGACTGTTGTCCTCATCTTTACTGTCACATTCACAACGTTTCAGCTGTTGTATGCTCTGGCTGTCTTTAAACTATTTAATCCATGGGGGTAGATTGTTCTAATTCCATGTACCATGCCAAAAATGTGGACATGGCAGTAAAGATGAAGAAAACAGTCCAAACAATGTAAATAGTTACAATACCTCATCTCAGACAGATATATTATTATTTCATGATATATCAGATTACGGTATAACTTCATCTTATGGGACATGCTACAAACCGGTTGTCCTATGATTTTAATGATGATTTGCTTTTGTCTAAACTCTACCGAAACAGACCTGTTATAGTTAAAGAATTGCTAAAAAAATTTAAGCTATTCTTCAGTTCACTCTCATCTGAAATACATTTTCAAAAGTTATCTAAACTTGGAATAGTGTTTCCTATGGTTGTGCAGGAGCCAACCATAATGCATATACCACTATGTCATAAAAGGGAAAGGCATCCTTTTCACTGGGAGGCCTCCATCTGACAGTTTACAGTACCCTAAAAAACTCTTGTCTTTATCTAATATTAGTCCAGCTCCTCTCATTTTTATCTCCTCCTGTGTATATGATTCTGTCATTGGTACTTATAAAATCCACATTGTCTTTTCATATTGTTTCACATACTAAAGGAATTTTTAATTTCTGTGGACTATTGTCCGCATTCTTGCTGTTATTACAACAATAAAGATGATGACAATAACCCAAGTGTAAATAAGAATGTTAATATTCAGCCTTTTCACTACTTACTTTAGATTTTTTATTTTTTCACATTCGTACAGTGTTCTAACATTACATGTTCCACTTGGGATATTATTTTTGTTTTGGGCTGTCACTGAATGACAGTCAAACCACATCTATCACATGTCTCACCTTACTGATTGAGAAATCAGTTCTGAGGGAGTTGCCTTCCTTCATTTTGTTATTGTATTTATAAGTTGTGAATTGGCATATTTGTTAGAGAGATAGTCAAGTAGTTTCCATTTCCTTTCCCATGGTGTTTTATTGAGATATCTTCTCTAGTTAGCTGGCCATTGACTCTTGAAGTCTATAATGTAATTGACATCTATAAGGTTGACTTGCCATGTCAGTTAGAAAAATAGCAAGGTAATATTTCATATACTGCCTAAATATACATAAATTAATTTTGCTTTAGGAAGTATTGGCTGTTTATTGTGGTTTACAAATTATATTTCAGCACTTTTAGATACTGTGCACATCTGATAAAGAAATGTGGTGAGACACAATACAGTGCCTCTATAATAGACTTTTGTACAAACCCACCCATAAATACATATATAATGTCTTAGTAAATAATATATAATGTTTTAATAAATAATATATAATATATTAATAAATAATATATAATGTCTTACCCAAAAGTCTAAGCAATTTAACCAAGAAAGAAAGTTACATTATCACTTAATTCCCATTGTCTTCTTTAAATAATCTATTGTCTGCTATTTGTGCACTGGCTCACAAAATGTAAAAATTTCTATTACTTTTGAGTTGCATCTCATATAGACACACACACACACAGATTATATATATTTTTTTTCTAACACAGTTCTAAAATGACATGTTCCAGTTGTGATATTTTGTTATTGTAGGCAGTCACTGAATGACCATCAAGCACCATGCATCACACATGTCTCACCTTAGTGATTGAAGAATCAGTTACTCAATAAAAAAAAAAAAAAAAATAATGTCTTCTTGCTTGTGGAACTCACTTCCAGCTCCATGCTTTCATGCAAACTTTAATTTCAAAGTAAATTGCTATCTGTCCTCCTGATTACTCTTCCTTTGTTCTCACTCCTTAGTAATGTCTCCAGATCAGATTTACTATCGAGACAGGAGTAAATGGTTGTGTCATCAGTGTATCTAGAATTTTATTTGAATGTGTGATTATTAATATGACGTTATTATCTTACTTATTATAAAACGCAGATTGTGTGTGTGTGTGTGTGTGTGTCTGTACGTTTATATATTGGATCGGATTTGCTACATTTTTTCAACTATTTCAACAAAAACTTCACAGGATCGTAAAATTACCTTGCAGTGGTTCTGACAGCACCAAAAATTGGAAAAACACAATTGTTTTTGCACAAATCAATTTGAAAACACGATTCTGGAATGAAAGGGGACAACTCACACGAGTTATACTTATTATAAAACCCAGTTTGTTTGTTGTGTGTGTGTTCGTTTAAATATGGGAAAAACATTTTCATCCGATTTCAACAAAAACTTCGCTGTTTTGGCAGGTAGTGTTTCATTGTCTTGAAATTTTACAAATGCTTTAAAATTCCATTTACAAGACAATTGTTTATAATAAAATTCTATTCACGATTCTCATAACCAGAAAAGAATGTTTTTGTTTGAACCAATTCGTAAAAAAAAAAACTAATTAAGACATGGTCCGTCAACCTTAAACAATAATCTTTGTCAATTTTATTTTTCAGTCTTTATGATGGTTGATACTTGATCTATCTCTTACTGTTACATCCCCAGGCAACGCCGGGCTCTACTGCTAGTATTTCTATATATTAAAGTATGAAAATAAAACAAATAGTATCTTTTTATTAAGAATAAAGAGTGAAAACTTTATAAATAAACAAAAGAATATAAATAGAAGGAAACTTTATCTTCTTAGCAAAACTGAGTGGATTTGCTATCAGGCTCTTTCAAATAAAGCTGAGTAAAAGTTTCTGAAGATGGGTACTTGTGTATAATATGCTCCCCTAATTTTTGCCCTTGATTTTCATTTAAAACTTCTCATTATGCACAAGAAAATGCAGTATCTGTGTGTGGGTGTGTATAATTTAATATATATATATATATATATATATATATATATATATACACACACACACAAAACTGTATAATATTTAGTGGATACATCTAAGTAAGTTGGTATCTCTGTCTTGTAAACAGTGTAATTTATCTACCAGCCCTGTCGCTTCAGAATCACGCCTTTCTGCAGGGGTTCCCCCAAGGGGGCCACCTGTTTGCCGTGGGTGGCGACCCGTGATGTTTGGACCCTGGTGGCTGAGCAGGTCATGACCCAGGTGATAAGTGGTCATGCTGCAACACTCCACTTTGGCCCTTACAGAATAGACGGGCGGTCTCCGATCAATTGGCTGGTCATGAAAAAACACTCAACCCACCCCCCAAAAAAAAAAAAAAAAAAAAAACTTGTGTATTAGTATAATTGCCAATTTATCCTCCAAAAAAAAAAAAATGACATTTATTAAAAAAAAAAAAAAATAAATAAATATATATATATATATATATATAATAATAATAAACTCCCCACATGAGTGTTGGGCGGTGGCTAAGGGTCAATCGATTCTGAGGAAGAAGGCCACAACATGGCTGTATACACCCGAGAGGCATCACTGGACTTGGCCAAAGAATGCAGGTGCTTTGGCTTCCACTGATACGAGTATACCTTTCCTGTAGCCCTGATGTGCCAGGGCGGATGGGTTTGGCATCTCCCATAAAATTGGACTCCGAGGTGGGTGGGGGAGCAGGAAAAACAACACCTAAAAAACAAATGTTTCCAAAGAAATCCACCAAGAGACCACATTTTGAAAGCTCTGACAGTGAGCCAGAAATAATATATCAAAACACCCCTACATATATGGTAATCCAATCAACTGAAGATATACCTATAACTAAAATATCACCTTTCAAAATCAACAAATATTTTCTAAAAAAATAAAACCAAAAACAACAAAAAATTAACAAACGGAACAATTCTAATCGAAGTTCAAAAACACAAAATTTAACAACATCAAAATTAAAACCTCCCTCCACCAAACCTTAAATTCATCCAAAGGCGTAGTGAAAAGCTCTGGATTATCACTATGCACATTAGACGAAATAAAAACAAATTAAAAAACCAAAATGTAATAGATATCAAAAGAATAAGTATAAAAAAAAATGGAGAAACTATAAACACAAACACATACATATTAAATTTTAATATCCCAAAACCCCCTAATGAAATTAATGTAGGGTACATAAAAAATAAAAGTTGAGACATATATACCGAATCCACTTAGATGTTTCAACTGTCAGAAGTTTGACACCACCAAGATAGGTGTACTAGACCCCCAGAAAGATGCGGTGAAAATAACGCAAGACACACTGACTGTCAGAAGGAGGCAAAATGCACTAACTGCAAAAAAAATCACCCATAAATTCAGAGAATCTGGAAAAAGAAAAGGATATTTCAAAATAAAATATACTCAAAATATTACTTTCCCAGAAGCAAGGAAATTAATAAACACTGTGACATACACAGAAATATCAAAAAGACATATACCAAACCCAAACCAACAAGGACACCAAACATACGAAAAATAATCAACCTATAACAAAACCTGAAGTAGTTACTCAACTTATGAACGAGATGAGAACTCTAATCCAAGAAATGAAAACCATTATAAAAACAATCACAGAAAACAAACAACTCTCCAAGGAAAACTCAAACACCAAAACATCAACAAACCAAAAGACACAAGCAAAGCCTAACAAGGAGAACCCAAAAGTACTTCTTCTGAAGTGGCCTCTACCACTAGGCCATCACAGACTTCACCCAATAGGAAACTATAAAAAAAAAAACCTGATGGGCAAGCATAAAAATAGATCAAGATCAACCTCAAGAACAAGAACTGCCCCAAAAATAAATAAATTTGAGGCATTGGAAATAATGGAAACGGAAGATGAGACCCCCACAACTAAGCAAAACCCAATCAAGGAAAAAATCTAACCTCAAAACAAATCCTGCCAAAAAATTAAAACATGGCTCCACAAGTAATCAAACATCAAAATATCCATAAGATAATCCAAAGGGAACTGCCGTAGCCACAAATTAAAATATAATGAGCTACCACTATTAATAGCTAAACAAAATCCTAACATCAGACACATTCAAGAACCCCCCAAAAAAACATGGGAAAAAAAAAACTATGCAACCATGACTAATAAAATCATCCAATGGAACATAAGAGGTATGAAACCAAACATAAATGAACTACTGCTTTTAATTGGGAACCTATGTCCAATGATAATATGTTTACAGGAGACTTTTCTGAAAGAGAATGACAATGTAAAAATTCGTAATTTTACCTCATATAACTATATAAATAATAATACAGATAGAGCCTCAGGCGGCACATCCATACTATTTAGTGAAACACATTCTCATTGAATGTACTGACCTAGCCCATATAAGAGAAACGCTTTATAGTGCAAGTAACATGAAGGAACTGTTCCAAAAAACGGACATGGATAACATAATATCGTTCCTGAAAGCAGTCAATTTGTACCAAAAAATCTAAAAACATAAAAAGTTGGGAGTTTTCTGCAAACTTTTGCTGCAAGGAATATTTTTCAACAAAAATCTGATTCTTTCTGCATACCATTTCTCAAAAAAGGAAGAAACTTCCCTACGATACAATTCTCTACAAAAAATTTTTTTGACAGAACCAGATTTTTCTACAAACCATTTCATTTCTAAAAACTTTTTCAGCATGGCAAACCTCTCCGTTTGTGGAAATGGAAGGGACTATTATATTGGAAAATAATACTCCAATAATAACCTGATTTGACATTAAATGACTGAGGAGGTCGATATGTCGTGAAAAACACAAACAAACAAACAAACAAACAAATTACATCTACCAGTCTTACATTCAAGAGTCTTAATGTACCTTCAACAAGGTTGGAACTTGCATTCCTCTTGTAAGTGAAACTACTGTTAAGCGAAGTTCGGTTACCCCCCCCCTTTAAAAAATGCGCATCTCTTGTTCAGATCCTTCAAAGCCTATATCTGCTAACTTAACAATGTAATTTCTAAGAAATTAATGGACTTTATTTATAATCCAACAATATTTATAATTAAGTTTAAATGGTATATTTAGCTGATACACATGTTTGAGTAGATATTGCTGTTTATGAAAGTAATAAGAAATTTTGTTGGATTATAAATAAAATAAATTAATTCTTTAGAAATTATTTTGATCTCTGACAGATCAACTCTGGTGATACTCAAACCTGGATCTCATGGTCAGAACACTGGTGCTTTAATCACTCAGCCATGTGTATATATATATATATATATATATATATATATATATATGAGAGTGCTGAAAAATTTTGAGTCTGGTCAAGAAGTGCCCTTCTGAAAAATATTTCTTATGTTTGATCATTTGGATAGATATTGGAATCATATATACTTGAGTATAATGCAAGTTTTTATGATCAGTTTTTTATGCAAAAAATAGGGGTTCACATTATACACAAGTAATTTTTTTTGAAGTGGTTAAAAATCATGCATTATCGGTGACTAGTTGCACTATACACTCATAAATTTTTATGGAGGGGTTAAAATTCATGCATAAACTTCAGGGGTTACACTATGAAATCTGCTTATACACAAGTATGTAGAGTAAACTGATAACTTTTCAGCATCACCTCTCATATATATATATATATACACACACACATACAAGGAAAATATGTTTATCACAATGTAAAATTTGTTGGCATTTATTTTTCTGTTATGTTCTTAAAGCTTTCTCTTTTTATTTTGTTACTAGACAAACAATGGTTCTCAATGTACTTTGAGTGCAAAATGAACTGAACTCAATGACATAATTAAATTTAATTATTTAAAAAAATGTTAATTTATTGATGTTCATCTCATTGTAGCCATGTTTTTTCTCTTCATTGTTTTATAAAATGTTGTTTGCTTAGCAAGTAGCATCTGCTACAATTTATTTATTCTGTTTTATATTCAATGTGTTTTGTTCTCAATCAAAATTATTAAAAGAATTATGAAGTTAAAAACTGCATGAAAATGTTTCTCTACAAAAATCAGTAACAACAAAGTGAGTGGCTTATGATTTTTTTCTCATCTCTTCACAAAATGGCAGAGACTGACTCATAGCTTAACTAATAAACCCAAATATGACTCTAAATATTTTTCTGCTTGTGTGGATGTTGAATTTCTCCTGCGTCTAACCACTCATACATTTGGTGGTGGTAACACAATTTGATAAAAGAAACATTATCTATTTTTCAGCCTCTTGTTCACTCTCCAAACATTTTAAAGAAAGTGAGAACTTGACCAAAAATGTTGTATTTTCTTTTAATCAATTCATCCCAAGCAAGGCAATAATGCCACTAAGATGCAATGGACTATTGGGAGTGAAAGAGAATGAAAAGACTTTAGAAGAAACAATCCTAAAAAGCAAACAAGAGATAAACCTCTACTCCTGTTCAAAAGATGGGGGAGGAGTGTGAACTATGGTGATAGGTGAACATATCAACTCTTAGTGAATTTCTACAATCTTAATTTCATTGGTATGTACTTGAGCCAATATTATTACTATTGGTATCATCCTCTTTGGTACCTTGACTTTATGAATTTAAGTGGAGTACATGATTGGCAGCTAGGTCTCATCATTTTACATTTGAAATGGCTAGATGTAACCAGAACTTCTACTGTAACTGTTTCTTTTCTTACACTTGCTTGTGGAACTTTGTTTCAGCCTCTTGCTTTCCACTTAACTTTGAGCTTCAGAAATTTAAATCCAATGTCAATTGATATCTTATATCTTCTTAGTTTCTGTTCTTTTATTGTTCTTTCTCCATAATAATGTTTTCTTCTCATATTCTTTCACACTCAGTAACTACTTTTCTTAGTGACTTTATTGCCTTGCTTGGGGTGAAATGATAAAAAAAGTGACTGTTTCATGACCTTGGTTTTGGTACATTAGTCAGTTATGTGCCATGCATGATACAGGCTTTGGCGATCATGTATCTTTCGATACATGACTGACGAAGCAGATTTTTTTTCCCTGCAGTAGGTTGCCATTTCTTTCTGCAGTAGACCAGTTGCCATCCAAGTTTATAGAACCCGGTCTGTCCTGTTATTTAACTTTAGCTGAGGTAGAAGAAGAGGATTCATACCTTTCCCAAGGGTATTAGCATGTAAGTGAATGCAATGGATTCGACTGAAATTTGAACTCGGCTCTCTGATTCCTCAATCCGAGCCACTATCCATTACTCCACTGTACCTTCGTTTTTTGGTACATTAGCATTGCTTAAAAAAAAAAAAAAACAGCATTGTTTAAAAAACCTGTTTATTACAATTGGTATCATTTCATAAATAATTTTTATTTCACTATCTATAGTTATTTCTCTGTTTCTTTTTAAGTTCAATTGTTTTTATTCAATATCTCCTTAATATATTATTGATCATGTTTTTTACTTTCAGGTATTTTCCTTCTGTGATGAAAGATCATGTGTCACATGATATTCTTTTGATGTGTCCTCCCTGTCACCAAAAAGCTTGCAACTATGACATCAGCTTGCGTCGACAATTAGCCTTAGAATGTGATGCATCATTGACAGGAGGTTCTTGCACCAAATCAAGTGTCAATCATAAATTGGCCAAAATACGATCAGCTGCAAAGTAAGTCCATCATAGCCTACTAACCAGATTTATTTAACTGATCTTAATAAATTCAAATTTAGGCAGTGAATGGCATTGGAAAATTAAACTAAATATAGATAATAAATACAGATAATAATAGCATATAGGAGTCACTGTTAAAAAAAATATACATGTTCTGAAAATATAACACTGCACCTTAAAAAAAAAAAAAAATTGTGTGCCGGTGAAATTCATCTAATTTATTAGAAGGTCATAGGTATAATGGGTCAAAGGTGGAGAGTTCCAAAGGCTTGCAAGCAGAGCCACTGGGTATGATGTCAATGACAGAACCATATTCCCTCTTAGAACAAAATTGGACATTCCAAAATATGACAATTGAAGAACTGAGAGTGTATGATCTTAAATAGTTTAAAACTTTGGTCATATCTTAATTTCTGGCATGAAGAAAATAAGCTATCAGGATGCATGAGATGGGTGCAAAAGTTTCCAACTCTCCCTCTTTTTTAATGAGACAGAATACAAAATTGCAAAATGTTTTTAATCTTAATAAATAAAATGCTGTAAACTTTTACATACACTTAATAGAATTAATAAAACGGAAAACCAAATTTAGAAGGCAATTAAAGCTTAAGTACACTTCTAACCAAATCTTTTTCTTTCATGGGTTTCTGATCATAAATGTTTACTCATTACATATTAATCACATACATATTCATCAGACATCTCCTCAGGGAAACCATTGTACACATTATTGAAAGTAAATGAAAAGGTTATAATTATCTTCTGCTTTGCTTGTATTTTTTGTATTAAAATGAGACAAACAAGATGTTTATCAATGACTGACTGTGTTTTTATTTTCTGTCTGCTTCTCATTTTTCTTACCTTTTTATGTTGTTTTATACTTGCCTGTTTTGTGTTGTTTTATACTTGTACTTGACTCAAAATTGTATGAATGTGGTCTATTGCTTATCTTTTCCTATCTGCCCAAGTTTTGAACATAGAAATTATGTGTGAGCATTTATGGTTAATAAGCATGACTTGATCTAAGAGATTGGATGTTAGAGAAAGAGTTAAATATATAGTTGCTCCTCGAACATAAGCCTGAGCAATACAGAACAAAACTGGTACATTGAACTGGGAAAGCATTTCAAGGCTCAAAGCAAATTGAACTCTTGTTTTGGTTAATGGTTAGGAGGATAATCTCTTAAACCATTCGTTTTTCAGTAGGTTCTATGAAAGTAGGTATTTACTAATTTCCTCCCAATCTAGAACTGGGAACAATAGTGGGTCAACCAGGGTAGATAGAACTTACTAACAATAGCTTCAAAATCTTACTTTAAATTAGAAACTGTTTACTTTAAAACATTTTACTTGAAATTGGCAATTATTTGAGCTTAATTTTTGTATCATTTCTTTTTTTTTTTTTTTGAATATTGAATCTTCTGTCTTTCTAGTTTTATCAACAGTAGATCTTTGTGGGAGGAATTACTTTAAAAAAGAACTTTAAAAAAGGAATTGACCAATGAGATAATTTACTAATTTTTTACATTGCATTATGTGACAAGTTTCAAAAATTTATATTATTGCTGTCATATACTAATTTATTTTTCTTAGTTTAATGTTTTGAATTTATTTAAATGATTGATTTGCAGAGCCTTGGTTACAAGCAAACATAAAATTCCAGCAGCGAGAAAAGAAGAACTAGAATCCTTTCTTAAAGAGAATCTTCAAGTTGAAGAATTAACAGATGAAAGTCTTCGCAACTGCATTAATATGGAAGTACGGTAAGAAATTAAAGCTTTTATTCTGAAAATCTTTTCAATTACAATTGAAGACGGGGACAAAATACAGGAGAGGTTTTCTTAACTTTAAATACAACACAATGATCATATGCATACAAACCCAATTCTTTCTCATACATTAATAGTATGATGATAAGTTAAAAGAAAGTTTTGAAGCTAAAAGCTGGGTAAGAGTTCTTTAAATTAGTTTATCTTTGGCAGGTAAAAAATTCTCAAGCTATAAATTTGACTAAAAATTAGAAACTTGTTTTGCATTTACTGTCTCATAGATTGTAATGGTATGACTGCACTAATGGATGTAAAAACAGGAACTGATTCTTTAAGTAAGCTTTATTTTGTGCTAAATTGAACTTCAGTTATTATTAAACTATTTGTTATCTTTGAAAACAGATGTATTTGTAGGAAAGTGATTTAAAAAAATTGTTTGTTTTGATTGTGATTAATGCTTTCATTTGGTTTCATAATTTAGCTTAGAGCTTTGATCAGGAAATGAAAAGAGTTAGAGATTTGTCATTTCCTCATTTGTAGTTTTTTAAACTTCAGTTAATTCAAGGTTTAGAGTTTGAATTTACTGTCTCATGTCTAGTGAGTGACAATCTTAAAATAATGGCAATAGTTTGAATAGATAGATAGAAATTCAGCAGATGAATGTACTGTTCTTTAAAATTGTCTCAATGAAATTGTAGACACTTGCATTTTCAATGAAACAAAAAAAATTCTAAAAGAGGAAAAGTTTTATCTGTTCACTTTAGTCTAAAAGAAAGGTGTGTCAGAAAATGAAGAATTAAGATTTTATTCTTTCAGCCAGATATTTTTTACAATGATTTTTTAAAAAATGTCAAATTTTAATTTTTTTTTTTTAAACTTTTCTTACAAGTTGGGGAACAGACTGTTTCAGAAGTTTGAAATAATAATGCATTTATTTTATGTTATATAAAAAAAATTAGTCATTCAAAAAAATTTTTTTACGACAAAGTTTGTTTTATTCATTGATAACTCCTGCAAATTTAAAATTAAAAATATTTAAAAGAAATTACATCAACTGCTAAAAAAAATATTCAAAACAATATATTTGTATTTTGATTTTATTTCTTATTTTAATTTAATTAGCATCTGAAAATAAAAATAAAAACACAAATCACCAAACTATTTTTTCTAACCATGTATTTACTTCAAAATTTGTTTTATTCACTTACATTTTGTAATTTATAAAAGTATCAAAAAATTAAAACAAACTAAAAAGAAAATATATTATTAGCTAAATAAAAGGTGTGTAGTTATTAAGATATGGTTTAGCAAACCAATAGATTTTTGTAAGAAAAAGTATTTTTTCTGATGAGGGTTGACTTGTTTTATATGAAAATGACTCATTTTTTTTTTTTCATTTTTGAGAAAATTTAAGTTTTAAAGTGAGTGAAGTGTTTCTGAAGTGAGAGTTTAATTTACAATTTACTCATAATGCAAAACTGAACCCGAGTTTGCATCCGTCTTTATGCAGTTATGGCAATGAATATTTCTTATGAATTTTTATGTTTTCAATGAATACAAACTCCTTTTGTTTGGGAAATCTTTCATATTTGAGAAATAATTGTTTCAAAATAATGCTGAAATAGTGATTTAAAAAGAAAAAAAAAATTAATAAAATCTACACCCTTGCCTATCGCACCCATCACAATTGAGACAAAACAGTAAAGAAAAAAAAATGAAACTATACATTGAAATAAACAAGATATTTATTGGGAAATAATGAATATTGGTTCAAAGCAATGACAGCTTTGGAATTGTTTTTGTCAAACAGTTTCATAGAATAAAAAAGTTGATGTAGCAAATTTTACAAAATGTAAACTGTAAATGGCAAGAAAAGAACTAAAATATTGAAGTAAGAAAATGTTTGCTATTAACAAATTTTGTCTTACTATTAAAAAAGTTCATATCCAGAAGGAATTCTCTCTTATGTGTGTACACACACACGTCTTTATTTGGCATCTGCTTTTCTACTTTATAAATGTTATTATATGTTTTTTTATTGTTTTTTTTTCTGATATTTTTGTCTTTATTTAAAAGGAAATAATTATAGAATAAATAGATCTTTATAATAATAAAATTCACCTTTTAAATATATATTGGGAAGTTGATATTTTGATTAAGAAAGTAAGGATATTTTGCAGGAAAAAATAGTTGAAAATTAGTCAAGAGTTACTTCTGGTCATATTTGTAAACAATGTAACAATCTGCTTTTACAGAATATGCTGTAATGAACTTTAATATCTGTTGGACAACATTAAATTGGTTCTATGGAATTATTATAATATACATTTTATGTCTTACAGAATAGGTAAATGAAAGTGAAGAATAATTTTCATATTTCTTAAATAATTTGGAAATTTTTTCATTGAACTTTTGTTGATACTAAGTTTTCGTTTGCTATTTTTAAATTTCTGGTTTTTCAGCAAATTTAATCTCTTTAACTACACTTGGTTTTAGTATGTTTATTTTTATAATGCAGTATAGCTTTTAGTTTTGTTTATTGACAAATAGGACAATTTGGCTTAACCTATGTCTTTTTTCTCTTTTGTAAAAGAAAATCCTAAATGTACAATAAGGATTAACTGACATTATAACATAGAAATCTGAAAATATAGGCCAATAAATTACTAGTTAATCTTTGTTAATCAAATGATAAGGAACTATTCAGCTTATTTTTTCTTCAAGCATTTAGTTCCATATCATTACTGGCATTCATCCTATCGAAATGATAGGATTATTTATGCTTGAACTGGCACTTCACGTAACAAATCTATGTAGTATGTTTATACTCTGCCTATTGAATTCTTTGATAACGGCTTATGAAAGTCAAAAGCAACTGATTTTCATAAGCTTATGAAATTCAGAAAACATTGGACAATTTATGTTCAAACTCTCCCTGGAAACCAGGAAAATGGTTTGAATTGATGAATAAATAAACAAATTTTAAATAAAGAACTTTCATTTATCCTGCATAAATAAAAAATTGCTGCTCAAACACACACACAGAAGGTGGGGTGCTGAAAAGTTATCAGCTTAAACAAGAAAGAAATCCAATGTTTTGTAGTGTGGATTGAGACAAGATTTTTTTCAACAGTCTATGTGTGTGTGTGTTCAAACACATACACACATTGCACTTTATATTTGTAGATAACTGGTCAAAGCAACTTATCAGTATGTACTAAACATAGTTTAGTTTGGATCCTAGTGAGAATTGGACTAATTACAGTCATATTGCTATTCAAGATGAGTTTGCTAAAAATTGTATAATGAAGCTACTCGGCTTAGTTTAGTTTAGCACAAGGCAATGGTAGTAGGTCAAACTTAGTGTACTAGCAAATTGATCTGCTTAAAATGCTAATAATCAGACAATGGTAAACAACCAAGGAAATATCTTTTTTAGGTATACCATGATAATGATGGGCTTTTGCTTATGGTAGCTTTGTTCAACTATTGCATCAGTTCCTTTAGAATATTTGCAGAAAGAAGTCTTCAGTATAAATTATAGTTCACATAAATATAAGAACTCTAAAGGCATAAAGCACTAATTATAAAATATAAAAATTTATGAAAACTTACTGAAAAGTTCTCAACCTGATTCACTTCCTAAAATCTGAATTAGTAATAAATATTAGAATTTTCTATAGAATCACTTTTTTGACTGGTTTGAGAAGTTTTCAGCTTACCCTTGTATATATATAGTAAGCAAATTTAAGGTCTATTTGGCTGAAACAGTTGAATACTAAATTATACTGTTCAAGTTTAAAACGTTTCTTAAAAATGTTTTTTATTAACTCCTTATCAATTTTATAAATTGAGTTATCTCCCTTACCAAATCTTTTTTTTTTAATCATGCAATGTTCCTTTTGCAGGATATTTTTTGTTTTATTTTATAAATTAAGAGACGAATCATGAAAATGTTTTTATTTTTTACTGAATTTTTTTTTTACTTTAAGCATATTCAGACTATAAAAAATTTCTAAATACATAAGGAATGTATCTATAATTTGCCAGATTGCATCCCTGAAGATAGAATATTACATAAAAACATACGTAAAATCTCATGAACACACACACACACACATATATATATATATATATATACACACACACACACACACACATATATATATACACACACACACACACACACACACACTATTAAATGGAGATTTTTCCCCTATATAACATTGCTAAAACCTCCACATTTATTTTATATGTAGTATAAATTGTAACTCTGGTTGTTTGAATTGATTTTGTAAAATTGGTGTTGTTGTTCTTGCTCTAAAATATAAAAGGGTGTCAAATATTTCATACAAAATCAAGAATTATTTTTTATGAGTTAATACAAGCTGATGTTCTGAAAAGAATGAAATATTTAAAAAAAATGTCATTACTTATTATTACTCATTGTTTTTTTTAACTAATCTTTTGCTATGTTTAAAACATGATTATATTGCTTTTCCCTCCTTCTCCTAATCAAAGAACAATTAATGGTCATATGTGTCTTTGTTTTCATGACTTTTTTGTGTGTCAGCTTTGTGTTTGACTCAAAAATGAAAGTTCTTTTTCAGAGTCTATAATCCTGACTATACACCTCATGGTCAAATTGTTGTGGAATATATGAAAAAACATAATAGATTGTTGGATTTTCAAAGAAGATGGCGGACTCATTTCCTGGAAACTATGAAACCCAAGTTTCTCCCTGCAAAATGGTCAGTAGACCATAACCATGATCGTTTGGTTAAATTCCTGCAAGAAGAAGATGAAAAGACACAGATATCTTAACATATTTGTGAGACTTAAACAGCCATATTGGCTTGACTCATTTCCATCTCAAATGGACATTTGCAATAAAATTGTTGCATTAAACTTTTTAATTGTTGATATTTTAATCTTCTTTCCTTTCACAGTCATATTACTTTAACCTTTTTCATTTCTATAACATTAAACGTATCTATTGTCTTTTTCATTTACTTTTTTCTCTGCTATGTCAAATACAATGCAAATACATTCTTGCTCTTTTAACCTGCAAATAAAAGGTTCAAACATTTTTTTATTGTTTAGCTTAGTGATTCTCATTGTGTGCAATCATGTCCCTTGGGAATGCTATGAACTTTCAAGGGACCAGTAATTTTAACAAGGCAGTAAGATGTATGGTGAAGCTCATTGTAATTTTAACAGGATGTTATTTCACCATTTGAATTTTGATTGGGCTAAGTCACAATATTTTATGTATGTATTTGTTCATCTTTTCTGCCAATATATTTACATTTTTAGACAGATTTTAAAAGTTTAGTTGCAATTGCAATATCTAGATCAAAACCTGCTAAAGTCCAGTATTTTTATATGATCCTGTGACTACCGATTGGCTGTTCATATCATGGCTTATTTTCAGTGATTGTTGTTGCTATAGTACAGCAAAACATGATTAACTTTGCTGCATTTACCCTTTACCAATGATATTTTAACATGGTCAAAGGTGCTACCTACAGATATCTGAAAAGAAGTGTTAGAAAAGAAAAATTTAAGAATCACTGGTTTAGCTATATTTATGTCTTTGGGGGAACTCACCATGTCATTTGCATTAGTCATAAATTTTTCAACATGGGTACTACAGCAGAATTGGTGGCTGGAAGAGGTGCCAAGTTTATGGTATTGCCTCCTCTCCTAAATGGATGGATTAATTCAGAGTAATCACTTGAAAAATCTTGTGATGTCAAGAAGACCTGTTAGCAAAAGATGAAAGTTCATTTAAGTTAATCCCTGTATCTTCTTTTGTGGTGGTCCTCTTTTTCACTGACCAGAGGTCAGCTTGCCAAATAGTAGGGTCTTTGGAAATTATTGGCAAATTTTGACATATGATCAGTCTAGTGTAGCTATGTATTTTTTAGCAATATCTCACAGTTGAATGTGTTGGCACTTTTGATTTTGTGATGAAGTCACTCCAGTGTATTTTGAGAATGGTGAAGAGGTAGAAATGGATCTGTAGGTGGTTCTGTTAGACAGGTGGCACAATAGTATGAAGTAAACTGCATAATGATTTTATATGCCTTTAGTTTCATGGAAAATGAAAGATTGGTGGTACTCTTGGTAATTAGCCAGTTAGTGAAGGATGTGTCAGTACAAATGCAAAAGAGGGTACTCTTTAAAAAGTTTAATTTTCTCTGAATGAAAGTTTCTACAACTTGTATGCAGCGTAGTCTCTATTTGTATTGTTTATAATATTAATGTGAGTAATTTTCTTTTGAAGAATCATTTGGATAAAATAAACGTTTGTCATTTATATTGTTCCTAAAATGTTTTGGTTGATTCATTCTACAGCCTTTTTCATTCTACCTTCTACTAGAAAAGAAAAACTTCTAATTAATTTGTGGAAACCAGAATATGATAGAAACATTTTTATGTGGGGATGTTATGCATCCTTTCTTTTGTTAAGCAAAAAATTCCATACTGAATGCAACAGACTATCCCAAAATTGGATCTTGGCTTGCCAATTCTATTTTTCACATTGATATCCATTAGACCACTGTTACATACTATTCAAATACTATTTTTTTTCTATTTTCCATGTTCCTGGATGTGGCCAATCATGGCTCTCCACAATTTCCTGTCTTTTGTAACTTTTAGTAAATTTGTCTTTTTAATATCTCTTCTAATTGCTGTTGTGTCACTCATTTATACAAGCTAATTAGGTAGGTTATGTGCTGCTTTCCTCTGTTCATCATGCCTATAACTTGTCCTGTTAATGTCAAATTTTCTAAGCCCTCTTTTCTCATTATGCACCCTAGAAAATTCAAATATCTCTTCCTGATGTTAATTATGCGTCCTTTTTGTTTCTATTTTCTCTAAAACTTTGTCATTGCTAACATGTTCAGTTCATGTTATTCTCAGCATCCTTCAGTAGAACCACATTTTCTTGTGCCTAAAGTTTCATCTTTGAAGAGATGGCCCAACATTCACTGCAATATTGGATTTTCCTGTTTCTTAGTACTTAGCTTTTGGAAGGCAATTTTCACTATCCCAATGAATCTTCAGATTTTGGTGTCACATTTTCCGTCCTTTTGGTATCTCTAATTTGTAATCCACATGCCTACACTGAGGTCTTGGTCCAATGCAGCACCACCACCCTCACCACAACCAGTGGCCAACAAGCTGGGATGGATCAAATACAATATTTTTAGAAATTCAAATACTTCTTGTGATTATTAATGTGATATAATTGGAAATACAAATATAAATAATTTTCTTCCAGATTCCAAGAAAACAAATACAAATACTTCTGAAACTAGGTAAAAATCTAAATACTTTTTCACATGAATACAAATGCTCTCATAAAGTATTTAAATACAATTCAAATACATTTTTATTTGATTCACCACTACCAACAAGCACTGTGCATTGACAAAAACCTAAATTAAAAGATGTCAAGACTAGAGCAATTAATTCCATCTTTTTGTATTTGTAAAACTGAGACATATGACAAGGTTTGGGGATCAAAAATTTGTCAATAACACCATCCACATTTATATGTCCAAATTCTTCATTTTCAATGCTTAATAAAGACAAATTGCTTATGCATTCATGACCCATTGTGCTTCAAGAAATAGTTTTTGATTAATTTTAGTTTACTGTAAGAGTGCTCACAGAATGCGACAGACAGCAACAGCCAACAGTATGCACAATGCTATTTGTAAATTGGGGAACATATCATTGTCTTAAGATATTGTGAGGTTGAAAAGCTCGATTGGGTTTTTTGGTTTAACGAAGGCACTGTCTTTTCTTTTTTGTATTAACATTTGGCAGTCTGTAATTTCATGACTGATTTCTATTTCATCAAAATCACTCTCGTATTCTGAAGCAGCTACTTTGCATTTGTATACTGTGTCTCTTCGCTTGAGTCAATGAGGCTTTCAGTATCCAAGAGGAACCCAAATTGCTCATGTAACTAATTCAATCTTGTAAATTGATCTTTCAGTTCAGTATTTAACTTGTCTGGTACTGCCTTCAAGGTAACTTCCATTTTTTTCTCTCACATTTAGAAGCACATCTTTCATCACTTCTCTAACCATTCTCTTTTTACTACACACCCTTCTCTGTTGACCAACATCAGTACCTCATTCTGCACATTTTTCTCTGTCCTTTGAAATTGAGTTTTTACAAAGAGAATACCGTTAACTCATAAGAGATTGTTGCAGACTTTGAATGTCAGCTCGAGCTTCATTGAAGTTCATTCTGAAGTCTCTTCTGTACTTGGTCAATGAAAGTCAGGATGTTGTCCCAGAACAGCAACAGAATTAGAAAGCTAAAAGTTTGCATGTTGTGCAGCAAACAGCTGGCATTGCTTCTTGTGTTGACTGATACTGAAGTGTCACTTGCCATATCCTTCAACAATTTAGCTTGCCATCCAACTTCATTTTTATAAGATGAACAGCATCATGCCTAGCATTCCATCTTGTATCAAGGTGTTGCTTTACAGCTATCCCTACTGTCACCTTCAATTTCTCCCACGACATTGTTGAGCTGGAGAAAAAAACTGTGCAATGAATTGTTAACTCCAAGAAGTGTTATATCAAACACCGTTTCTGATGCTGCAGAGCACTCCTACGAGGTTCAAGCAATTCACAAAATTGCTTGCAGGTTTTTCTGTAATATACGTTTCTAGACACTGGATATCTTCCCAAACATTGCTGTAGAATTGTTATATCTCTGTCCATGACAGTCATTCAAATCATCTCGTTTCAATTTTGAGGTAGTGTCGAATATAATCCCATAATATCTGCTTCTTATGACTCTCTGTAGGATAGATTGATGTACTTTGTTGTCCAGTAGCTCAATGATCTCATTCTGTATCTTGCTAGAAAAAGTGTTGCAGAATGTGGATGCAACTTGACATAATCTAAGTGATGCTGCAACAGAGGGTCATACTTGCTAAGTATTTTAATGTGTGCAAGATTATTACTTGATTATTACTTGATTATTACTTGATGCAATGACTTCTTGGTGTCCATGAAATGCCAGATGTTGAGACACCAAATACTTGATACAATCCATAAAATGTATGAGCAGATCCTTCCACAATTGCTTCTGTTTCTTCATATGCTTCGGTATTACTTTGTCAATCTGATATGTGTCTCTCAAAGTCTTTCCATGCAAGAAATGACGCACAGTAATGAGTGACTTGTTAATGTTCTAGTATTCTTTTGTTGCATTTCTCCGTTTTCAAAATCCACAAGATTTTTCAAATATCGTGCTTTGGTTGACTGGAACTGTTGAAAACAATAAACAAAAAAAACAATACACTGCATCATATTTAATAGAGTACAACAACCAATTACATGAAATCATAGACCCATCCTGTAGTTTTCTTTGAAATCAGTAATTCATGAATCTGTGGTTAACACACACATTTTGTGCTTGTTTCATTACTCATCACTTTTTTGACTCATCAGCTGTCAATAACTTCCCAATCTTTTGTAATTTTGAATGGGTTTTGTTATGAAAAACTTCAGCACCCGTCCACACCATTTGTATGCGTAGATAATCAGAAATTTGAGGCTTATTGCAATTTACATACAAATTTAAGCAACCTACATCTTTCTTGGTTAATTCTGCATAATCAATTTAATCATATTGTGCATGTTCATCAGATTGGCAATGAAATGAAGACGAAGGCTGATTGAAAACATCCAATAAAACCATTTGAATCTATCAGAATCTATCCTAACAGATAAATACATATATATGTTGCAATAAAGCATTTCCCCCTATATTCTCAGTGAGAGTGC